GGGCCAGCAGGGCTCACGGAAGGGGACATCTCACACTGGGATACCCAGAGGTCATAGAGGCCCAAGGGGAGTGGACCTCTCACAGCAGGCCACCCAGGGGCAGTAGGAGGTCACAAGATGGTGATGTCTCAAACATGGTTACCAGGAACCACAAAGGATCCTGGGAAGGAGGAGTTTTCAAGCCAAAGTGTTAGCCCAGGGGTTCAAAACGCACAGGAGAACATTCCTGGTCAAGGACTCTCAGAGTGCAGGCTCAGCTCCGCTCAGGGTTCCAAAGCTGATGGAGGGGACTGCTGGGAGGGTCCCAAAGCTGATGGAGGGGACTGCTGGGAGGGTCCAGCAAAGTTCTGAGCTTCCCCAGGGAACAGAGTGGCCTCTTTCCCCTGGGTGCCCCTCACCTGGATCGCCTTCAGTTCCTTCTGCAAACGGAGGATCAGCTCAGGCCCGTTCTCCATGGTGGGGATGTGAAGTTGCTATGAAACGAATGACTCTGAGTGAGGCCTGGCCTCTCCCTCTCTGACCCTCCCACGGCCGAGGCGGGTGGGTGGCCGGCTCACCTTGCCCTGGTATGTGATCTGGTGCACTGGGCACACCTGGCAGGCGGTGCCCGAACCAAAGACTTCACGCACCCGCCCCTCCTCCAGCGCCCGCAGCAGCTCCTTCATGGTGACTGTTCGCTGTGCCACCCGGAACTCACCCTGGGGGACAAGGGACAGGGATAGTGTGGAGACAGGGGGTGGCCCCTGCTGGAGGGCCCGCCCAGAGACCTAAGGGGGGACCCTCTAGAAATCCAGAGAGACCCACAGACCAGCCAGCTTTCCTCCCACACCCACCCCGGCGCCCACCCCTCAGTGGCCGGGTCCTGTCCCCCTGTCCTCACCCAGGTCTGAGCCAGCTCCAGCACGCACTGTCTGACCACTCCAGGCAGGATGACGCCGTCCAGTGGGGGGGTCACCAGCTCCAGCACTTGTCCGGTGGAAGAAGAGCCGGATGTGACCTCACACTCACATGTCCACCCCTCCCCGATCTTCCTGGATGCCGTGTCCCCAGCATCCCGGGAGCCCAAGCTCTGCTGGGAAGGTGGTGCGGGTCACCCTTGTCCCCCACAACCCCCTGGAATCTGGAGAGAGGGCCAGGGCCGCGCCGGGTACCCAGGGTCTTTCTCACCCCCATCCTCGTGGGTCCAGTAGACGAAGATGTTCATGGTGCCCACCTCGGTGAGCTGGTGGTCCGGCCCATACAGCCAGAGCACCTGCTCACAGCCCTTCTTCTTCGCCTCCTGCTGCACGAACACCGTGGGCCCGTAGTTCCTGTCGGACGGCAGCCTGGTCCTTGCCTGTCCCGCCCCAAGGGGGTCTCTCCACATCCCAGCAGACCCTGCCTCTCCTCCCGCTCGCTCACAGCCCTCCGCCGCCCCTCAGTGGAGACCGTGGGGTTCCTGCCAGCTTGGAGCCCCAGAAGAGCTGATCTCTTAACTCCCCTGTGTCCCCAGGAGGCTTCAGGACGTGAGTGGAAAGAACCAGAACAAGGCTGAGTTGGGCCACACTTCCGGTCCTAAGAGGCCCCATGCTGCCCTCGCTCTGAGGACCCCTTGGCGAGACTCAACTTCTCCCCTCGACCTCTCAGACCCAAAGACTCCAGATGGAGGCAGACAACAAAGAAGGGCCCTGAGCCTGGCCAAGGTTCAGGGGAGGTTTCCCTGGGGGACACTGTTGAACAGAGAGTGAATTTCATTTCTGGAGACTTCCTGAGGGCGGAGAGTCCCTGGGTGGGACAAGTAGTTGAGGTGAATGACTGCTCACCAAAGCTAGAGGGTAGGGCCCTCTCAGGAGCACGTCGGAAGAAAGACCTGGTAACATGCTTCTGAAAAATTAGCCCCTGGACGTCCCCGAGGGGCAGACTGGCTTCCGCAGTGACCCACCCATCCTGTTTGTCCTGTAAGGCAATCCGTACCCTTCCCCTCCCCAAGTTTGCGTTCAAATAACACACAGTGGCCCCGGGGTGCTGAGAGGTCTCGACATTACAGAGGAGAAAACGTAAATTGCAGAGTCCCTGTGTCACAGGGCTCTCTGGGGCCACATGAAACAGGACCAGAGAAGGCAAGGGACTCGCCAAAGACACACAGCACAGCCCGGGCACCAGAGCTGTCTCCACAGCCCACGCTCCGAGAGGCTGGACGCTCGCTGCTTACCCGCCAAGCTTGCAGTCGCCAACCCCACCTATCCAGGCCCGCACGAAGGTGGGGTCTGCCAGGAGGGAGACGGGGGTCACGGTGTCTCCAGGGAAGTATGAGCCGACAGGGGAGAGGATGACGTAGAGAAGGGCCTTGGTGGAGAGGCCCACGCCCAGCGAGGGCTGTGGAGGACGAAGGAAGAGCAGAGGAGAGCAGGCATCAGGGACCCAGGAATCCAAGCTCCCAGATCTCCCCCAGACAGGCACCCTGCACTGCCCCACATCCCATATGCCCTCGGACCCCTGTCCTCCTCCAGACCTGAGTGCCAGCCCCTCCTCCCTCCAGCCCGCAGCCCAGTCCCGCAGCATGCCTGGGCCCAGGAATCCTGCCCCCATACCTCCCCTCCCAGTCCTCCAGCCCCCCAGGTTCCCTCACCTCGTTTCCGATGAGCACAGGCCGAACATAGAGGCTGGTGCCAGGGGACGTGGGCACCCAGTCCTTGTCCACTTCTACCAGCCGGCGGATGCACTCCAGCAACTCGAGCTTGTCGAAACTCTGGGTGGACGTGGGCACCAGTCAGGGGGCGTCTCCTGCGGGCCGGCCACGCCGGGGCCCCCACTCCCAGGCAGGACCCCCTCATCCCAGACGACAGGACCCTCACCGGCAGGCAGAGGCGCTGGGCCGAACGCAGCATGCGGTCCATGTTGAGCCACGGTCGGAAGAGCCGAACCCGCTGGTCCGGGCCCCGGTAGGCCTTCAGGCCCTCAAAGAGCTGTGGGGGACAAGGACGGGGGCTCAGAGACAGATGGCCACCACGGAAGGTCACAGGACACAGACTGAGATGGAGAGAGCTGATGACAGCCAGAGGGGCCCAGGGGCACCCCATCACACCCAGAGATGGAGAGATGCAGAGGAAAGCCGGGGAGGGGGGACGCTCAAAGCCAAGGGCAGTGGCCAGCAGGAGAAGGACAGAAAGACAGGGAGCCAGAGGCCGCGAGCCCCTGACTCAGATGAACCTCTGTCCCTGGTCATAATATCCAGGAACATGCATGGTGACTGGTACTGTTTTTTTTGTTTGTTTGTTTGTTTTTTGTTTTTTTTAATTCAACGGTTCTATTTTATTTCTATTATTTGAAATTTCTTTTTCAAGAAACAGATTCCTTTTTAAACACTGTATTTCTTTTTGCTGTAAAGAGAAGAAAGTCTTTTCTTTGAAAGAATTGTGTCATGGAGAACAAAATCAAATGCTTTTCCAAGTTAAAGCACAGGTATTCCTGAAGTGTCTGGATGGTAATTTGGACAGCAGCAGTCTTTGAGTTAAAGTTTCATAAAAGATATGGCTAAGACAGTGATTTTGGTCGTTTTGCAGGTGGTCCAGCAGAGTTAGTTCTGTTATCAATGTTATGTTCATCTTCTACATCATCTTCGTCATCACCCTCTGAAAGTGGTTTTAGTATACTCACAAGGTTGTACCATCATCACTACTATCTAATTCTGGCCCATTTTCGTCACCCGCAGCCGCCAGGTCCTGCACGTCCCGCGGAACCAGAGGGTGGAGGAGCTCGGCCACTCCCTCTCTCATCTGAGCCACCCCCGACAAGCCCTGCAAAGGGTCAGCACCCTCCGGTGCCTCACACGACACCCGCAGCTGCTGCCGCTGCCCATCCCGCCCCCGATGTACTCGGCCACCAGCTCCACGGCGACCGCTCAGCTTCAAGCGCGCGCCACAGGAACCTGCCCACCGGGACTGGTACTGTTTTAACATCATTCAATGTCACTGAATTATATCGAAACTGTCAAAAAGCCTATGTTGGTTTGCTTTTTCATGTGTGTGTACCGTTGAGTCGGATCCGACTGGCACGGGAGGAGATTGTCCCTCCTTCTCCAGCGGAGCACCTGGTGGATTTGAACCACGTGCCTTCAGGATTGCAATGCAGCTTCTTGCCACTAGGCCACCAGAGCTCCCTAGGGCCTAGGTTTTGTAATACTATCTTTTCACTACGATGACATGAAACACACACACACATCCCAGGCTGTGGCCCTGTTTCTCCTTCAAGCCTGGAATGAAATCACCCCTCTGTACGTCAAATTTCAGCCAAACAGCAGATGGGCTTACAGTGTGATCCGTGATCTGCACCAGCCGCTCAGACAGGTCACCCACCCAACACCAGAAGGGCAGCTTTGGCGCCAGGAGGAAGTGTCGCCATGGCCTCCTCTCCCTCATGATGGCCCAGGGCAGGTTTGGCATCTGCTTGGCTGCCAACCTCAAGGTCAACAGTTCAAACTCACCAGCTTCTTCATGGGCGAACAATGAGGCTTCCAATAAAACAGCACGGCCTTGGGAACCCTGAGGGACAATTGTGCCCTGTCCTGCAGCCTCTCTAAGTTGGAAAGGACCCGGGGGATCATGGGGTTCTGGTTTGGGGGGTCCTTGTTAGAAAACTCTCCTGCTCATTCAACCTCATTTCTCCCAACACATCTCTTGGTCTCAGTGTGGCTGCATTCCCGTCTCAGCCTTCACCCATGGGAAGACCAGGTTGCTGACCGCAGCCCTGTCATGTGCACTGACTGCTTGAGACCACAGCGGACAGAACCACTGGTCCCTGCTCCTACAGTGGTGCTGGGCAGTCACAGGTGGGGCTGAACGCAAGCATGAAATGAAAAGATAAAAACCCAAACTCCGGACGAAAAATTGAAAGGGGGAAAAAAGAAATTAAGGCATAAACAGTTGGGGGGAGGGGGAGGAAGAAAGAAGAAAAAGGAGCAGGAGGAGAGACAAAGAAAGAGAGAGAGAGGGAGGGAGAAAGAGAGAGACCCAGAAGTACACGGTGCGAATCCACCAGATGCTCTGCCGGAGAAGGAGGGACAATTTCCTCCTGTACCAGTCAGATCTGATTTGACGGTACACGCACAAAAAATAATAATTAAAAAAATTTAAAAAAGAGAGAGAGAGACAGTGTGTGTGTGTGTGTGTGTGTGTGTGTGTGTGTGTGTGTGTGTGTGTAGGTCTTACCAGATTATTTTTCAGATATTAAAACAAATCATAAGCCTACAATACTTAATTTCAAAATTAACAATAGTAGTGGAGGGAGGAAACTATGCAACAGTGAATGAATGAAAACCCAACCTTCCTGTATATTTGCATTAAAATAACAGTAAAAAAAGATTTTTTTAAAAAATAACAATAAATTGGATCGCTAGCATCCACTTCCTAAACAAGCCTCCAGAAACTCTATGAACTTTGATAAATGTCGATAGTTGTAGAGGGGCTTCAGGCCTTTAGTTTATAGGGCTGCTATGAGTCGTGCTCGACTTGAAGGCAATCAACAACAACAACAACAATATACATAGGGAGTTCTGATGGCTTAGTGGTTAAAGAATTGCACTGCCAACCCAAAGATTCATGGTTCAAATCCACCAGCTGCTCAGCGGGAGAAAGCTGGACAACCTCCTCACCTAGGATTTCCTGCATCTGAAAACCCGCTGGAGGGTCGTCTGTGACTCCACAGTACACAGCAACAATCTACGTTAGAGTTGTAAGAATTCCAAGAGGCTCAAAGTCTTAAATGAGGAGTGTGTGTGTGTGTGTGTGTGTGTGTGTGTGTGTGTGAAATGGAGTCATAAGAACTGTTGTTGTTGTTAAGTGCCGTTGAGTCAAAGACTCATAGCGACCCTATGAATGAAAGACCTGAACACTTGTGTAACTTTCATCCCTTCTCCAGGTTCATAGGGTTTCCAGAGACAAGCTATTATGGAAGTGGATGCCACTCCGGCTTCCAAGCTTGTTTGAATCAGGGAGCTCCACCAAACACTGTCCACCACGGGTAACCATTATCCCATTTGATACATGAGTGTCGCAGCGTTCAGCATCACAGCAACCACGAGTGACCTCTGTACAGCAATGCACAGACCAGAGCTATGCCGCTTAGAAGAATGTTTGACAGAAAACAATTTAAACAAGGCCTGAGGGCTGCAGATTAAAATCACTCACCTTTGGCTTGGTAATGTAACTTTCTATCCACTAGGCCAACAGAACTCTCTTATTGTTTTTGTTAAGTGCTGTCGAGTCGGTAGGTAGGTGACTCATAGCGACCCTAGGAACGAAAGACCTGAACACTTGTATAACTTTCCATCGTTTCTCAGATAAGAGCTGTAGAAGAAGAAAAATAAAACAACTGCGGAAGAGAACAGAGTATCAGATTTTTTCCCCCTCTATTTTGCTCTGGAGATGGTTCAAACACTCATAGCTGCCCCTCCAGTGGGTGTTCGGGGGTCTGTAAACGGCACAGAGGACAGTGCCTGTCTTTCTCCTGTGGAGCCGCAGGGGGATTCAAACCAGCAGAGAAGGCACTGCCTTTGGGTTAAGACTGCAATTCCCTGTGGACTCCACCACCAGACGACATATGACTACACGCAACACAGACCAGAGGGTGTACGCCTACAAAGAATGGGGTTTTGTTTTGTTTGTTTGTTTTTCCTTTTTCTTGTAGTGTACCCTCGAATCAGATCTGACTGGTACAGGAGGAGATTGCCCCTCCTTCTTTAGCAGATCATCTGGTGGATTCGTACCATGCACCTCTGGGATTGCAGTGCAGCTCCTTGCCACTAGGCCACCAGAGCTCCCCAAAGAACATTTTTAACAAATCAGTTTTTTTTTTTCATTAAACCAGCAGGGAGCTCTGGTGGCCTAGTGGCAAGACACTGCACTGCAATCCCAGAGGTACACGGTTCAAATCCACCAGATGCTCTGCTGGACAAGGAGGGGGCAATCTCCTCCTGTACCTGTCAGATCTGATTTGACGGTACATGTATAAATAATACAATAAAAAAAAATAAGAGGAAAAAAATGAAACCAGCTAAGAAAACGCGTCCAGAAAATAGGCGCTCAACCTCATTCATAATAGGATGTTGTTGTTAAGTGCCATCGAGTATGACTTCATAGTGACCCTGTGAACAGCCAGCTTGCGCCCTCTCCTGTGTCGCCCTGATCATCTGAGACACTGGAGCCCACTGCTGAAGTCACGGGGTCAATCCATCTCTTTGAGGATCTTCCTCTCCTTTGCTAACCCTTTTTCTTTCCAAGCATGATGTCCCTTTCCAAGGAATAGCCTCACCTAGCTACATGCCCAAAGTATGGAAGACAAAGCTGCTTCATCCTTGCTTCCAAGGAGATCTCTGGCTGCACACTTTCCAGGACATATCTGTTTGGGTTTTTGTTTTTTTTTTTTTGGCAGTCCATGGGATATTCAGTGTTCTTCTCCAGCACCCTAACTCAGAGGTGTCAATTCACGGGATGGAGGAGTTACTTTTGAATGCATTTAAGACCAACCAGACCCTGTGCCTTCATTTCGACTCACAGGAACCTCGTAGAACAAAGCAGAGCTGTCCCACGGGGTGTCCAAGGTCGTAAGCCTTTACAGACGCAGACGGCCTCCGCTTTCTCCTGTGGGGCAGCTTGGGGGTCCAAACCCCTGCCTTCCCATCCCATGCCTCAGTGTTAACCCACGGAGCCCCCAGGCCTCCTATATAGGAGCCTGGAAAAGGTTTTCACACATTTAACAGAACCTGTCTAGGGTACAGTAAACAGGTTCAGCCGGTGGCATTGGAACTTGATACAACTCCTGCGGCGATTAACGTTAGCAAGCTCTTTTCCAAGTTAAAAAGCTACTTACCCTTTGACCCAACAGTGCCAGAAAGCGAACTGACCGATTCACAGGAAATTTTTGTTTTCCTACCGCTTTTCTTTCTAAAGAAGATTTTTATTCTGTTGCA